TGCACTCTCTCATGTATATATATATATATATATATATATAGATGTATATATTATATATACAAACACTCACACCCACACACACAACCATATATCTATCTATCTATATATATACTCGCCGCTACTGCATCATCGGATAGCATCCAAGATCTAATATAAAGTTACGTGAATTTCTATGTACATACGTCGAACCTCTGCACTCTCCCGTATGTATATATAGATATATATATATATATAACAAGATATACTTACCCCTACTGCAGCATCGGATACCATCCAAGACCTGATTGGAGTGGGTGTACTAGTACCCGCAGGTATGGACCCCGAGAGTGTGGAGGTGTCTCCCAGAACCGTGTTGTTGGTTGCGTTGAAGGGGGGTGCAGATGTAGTGGCCAATGCCGTACACGGCATGATCGTGGGTACCTACTGTATGTATTCAGGACTCCTGGGGTTGTATATAGACAATCTGTCGCACAAGATACAACATCGATCGTATATGATCAATCAGATCATACAGGTATGATGTGTGTATATGTAGCCGTGTTGGTGGATGTATGGCTGTGTTGGTGTGTGTGTATACTGTTGTATTCGTGTATATGCATGTACATGTATTGGTGTGTGTGTGTATAGGTATATCTGTGTATGTATACAATTACGTTACAGTATGTACCTCATATTATCTGTAGATAAGCTTAGATTGTAGTGACGAAAACGGTGCATGGCATGATACTTTGGAGCTACTGCGTTTATTGACAACCTATAGCACATGCTACAGCACTGCAATATTTAGGACATCAGGTGGTAGTGCTATATTATATATATATATCTATATATATATTATATATATATTATATTTTATAATATATATATATATATTTTATAATATATATAGCACTACCGCCTGATGTCCTGAATTATATATATATATCTTATTTAGGACATCAGGTGGTAGTGCTATATTATATATATATATATATACTATATATTTTATGATATATATATATATATATATATATTATCATACATATATATATATATA